TACGGGGTTTGAGCCACCGTCCTGGAAGGGGACCCAGTCGCGCGGGCTGTTTAAAGGCAAGGGGGACTGGGGGCGGCTAAGCACTTCAGGTCCATCACCCTGACCAATGCCGCGCCTAAGTTCCATTATGCGTTCCTCAGACAGTGCTTGAACGCTTTCATTGAGAGTCTGCTCAAAGACTCTCAGACTGGTGGCCTGCAAGGGAGAGGAACTGCGCTGTCCACCCACACGACGTTGGCTTTCTTGCATCAGGCGCAGGCTGAGAAGTTCACGGCGGTGCTGCCGCTTGTGGACGTGGTCAGTGTTTTTTAATTATGATTCGGCAATTCGTTGTTGATCTGCCCACGGATGAGGAGGAGAGGAGGTGCATCGTTGAGTCGGTCCATATCAAAGGGTGGATGAGGCCAGCCCTCGAGCAGACGATGCAGTCGCCGTGCATCCTCGAGGGGAAAGGAGGCGGCCCCCGGCCGGGGAAAGACGCCCGGGGAACTCACGGCCCCGGGGCCCTCACGGATCGATCTGGCCCCCCCCCCCACCTCAGTCGTCTGCTGAGCGACAGTCAGAGAGCGACGTGGTTTCGGGTTGGCGAAGCATGCTGCGCCGCTGCCACGACCAAAGGCTCTAGGCCAGGCAATGCTCTTGCAGATTTTTCCACAACACCCTTTTCGCTAGGACTCTGCAAAATATTGAGAAGGATTTAAGCGAGAAGGGTCTTTTGTATGAGTTGAAAGAAGCCCAGGTCAGCATCCTGGCTGAGCCGGGGGACGAGCCCCCCCCCTGGCCGACACCGCTTATGCTGACGATGCGAATTTTTCCGTGGTGTGAGGAACAACTCTGATGCGCTGAGGGTTGCGCGGACGGTGTTCTCGGTCATCGTCGCGCGCATGGCCCAAGATGGCCTCGTTATCTGTTTTGTTGCGGGAAAATCGCAGGTGATGATTCAGGTTAAGGGCAGATAAAGCGTGGTGTAAGCGCCTGCTGTCGGTTGAGTTGCAGGGCCAGATTTACATCCCAAGCTTGCAGGAAACGGTTGGGATGGTGGCTACGCATAAGTCCCTCGGGGCGCTGCTGACCGCGGACGGGTCGGTGGGGCCCGAGGTGGCCTATAGATGTGGCGCTGCTAGAGCCATCACGGGAGCGATGTCTAGAACCGTTTTTCAGCATGAGAGGGGTCTCTCTGGCGGCTAAGTTGCAGTGCCATGCTGCTCTCATCGAGTCTAAGATTATACATAATGCGGAGACGTGGGGACAATTGAGTGAGAAAAGCAAGCAGCAGCTGAGGTCGGCCTACTACGGGTCCCTGAGACGTGCTGTCAAGTGCCAGAAGCGAAAGGATACCGCGTCGGATGCCGAGGTTTTGCCCACGTGCCAGCGGGCGCCTCTTGGGCGACTGTTGGCGTACAGGAGACTCAAGTACCTTGTGCGTCTGCTTCGTTATGCCCCGCGCCAGCTTCTTCTTTTACTCGACAGGCAGTGGGATGTCCGCGGCTCGCGGCCGCAACTGATAAACTATGATCTTGCGTGGATGCGAAGGCATGCGGGGGAGGCCACTCGTGTGTTGGGGGATTATGTGGAAGCCGCGGTGGAGGTGGCCAAGAACGGGCCTGATTTTTTCCTCGCTCGTCTCCGTTCGGCCTGGAGGAACTCGCTTGCCTGGGAGCGTGACCAGCTGAGGCTCACGGAGTGGCGCAGGGCGCTCGCGGCGGAAGCTGAAGGCGGAGGCTTGCCCCCCCCCCCCCCCCCCCCCCCTTTGCGAAGGTCAAGTCCCCTGGAGGCGATGTGTGCCATGAATGTGGCTACGCCGCCCAAAGCAAGACTGGGTGGAAAATCCATGTCGCTAAGGCCCACCCTGAGCTCGGGCAGGTTAATCCGTTTCTGTTCGGGTCGTGTTGCCCCGCCTGTGGGTGGGAATTCCGCACTAGGCTGAGACTCGGCAAGCATTTGAGAAACAGAAGTGCGAGGTGTCTCACGGCGATTCGGGCTTTTTTCAAGCCCATGGGGGGGGGGGGGGGGGCAGGTTCTGGAGCTTCAGAGGCTTGACGCGCAGGAGAGCAAGGATCTTCGGCAGCGAGGCCTCTACCAGGAGAAGGCCCTGATCCCCGCCGCGAGGTCGGCGACCCCACTGATCCCGCCCCAGGATCATGAGATGTGCGACCCCGTCGAGCCCCCCAGCGTCGTGGAGGCTCAGCAGGATGCTCAGGCTTTTTTAGGACGGCCAGAGCGTAGTAGGTTCCAGTACTACTTTATCCTGCATTTGTTCTCGGGTAGACGTCGGTTGGGGGACCTGCAGGATTGGGTTGAATATTTCCAGGCCCAGGCCCCCCAGGACAGGCCCGTCTGGACCCTGAGCCTGGACGTGGCCAACGCGCCAGTGTTGGGGGACCTCAGCGTCGAAGGCACCATCGAGCACTGGCTGAAACTTGTGCGGCAGTTCTCGGTTGTCGGCCTGCTCGGGGGCCCCCCGTGCGAAACGTGGAGCGCGGCCAGGTTCAACAGTCTGGCCAACGGCAGGGGTCCCAGGCCGGTGAGATCCAGGGAGCTCCTTTGGGGCATTGAATGCCTCACGAGTAAGGAAAGGAGACAAGTGGACCTCGGCAATGTTTTGCTGAGAACCATGCGTAGATTCTTGGTGGCGTGCGCGGGGCACGACACTCCCTGCTATTGTGGAACACCCGGCCGAGGCCCATTGGCGACCGCAGGCTCCCTCGTCGTGGTTGCTGGGCGAGGTTCGATATATCCTGTCGTTGCCAGGAGCCGAGAAGGTGACGGTTGCTCAATGCCTCTACGGCTGTGAGTATGAGAAACCTACTACGTTCCTGACCATCCACCTTCCCTCTCTGGGGATTAGGGTCCGAGAAGGGCCTGGGGGGGGAGGTGCAACCATCCTGGTCGGCATCGTCAGGCCCTGGGCCGTGGGGAGATGGGGGAGTTCCGAACAGCTGCGTTGAAGGAATACCCCGCTGAGCTGTGCAAGTTGCTCGCTCGATGCATGTGGGAAGGGGTCGAGGCCAGGACGAGGGTCGGCCCTAGGACTTGGGAGGTCCCTCAAGAGGCTCTCGGATTTTATATCCCCCTCGACCCATACTGTGAGTTCGAGCGCAAGCATGACTGCGCCCGAAAGTGGGGCAGGGACGACAGCTCAAGCGAATCTGGCGGCGACCGCTAAACGGCGGCGGCGGGTGTGAGGAGGCCCCGCTCCGCGCCTTGGCGCGAGCCGCCGCCCGCCCGCACATTATCATCTTGCAAGTTGTATTCGATACGCTTCGAACATTCCTCATGCTGGAAACCGTAGAAACCGTACGAGGAGGAGGAAGACGAGGATCAGAAGGAGGGGGTTGTGCCAGGGCGAGGCTGGGCGGCCTTCTGAGAGGGCGGGAGGCATCCGGGGGCGGGCTCGGGGGCTTCCAAGACCGCTGCCTACCAGGAAGGAGGGCTTCCCAGAAGCCACCAGCCCCACCACCACCACCACCACCACCACCATCGTCGTCATCATCGAATCTGTTTCTCCTCCTCCTCCTCCTTTTCCTCGTCCTCCTCCTCCGCCTCCTACTCTTCCTCCTCCTCCGCCTCTTCCTCCTCCTGCTCCTCCTCCTCCTCCTCCTTCTCTTCCGCCTGGCCTGTTCAGGACGCAGCTCCCCCCCGTCGCCCCGCCCTCCCCCTGGCGCGCGGCCGAGACTCCGCACCGGTCGCGCCCCGATCCCGATCTCCCTCCCGCCAGCACTCGGGCCGATCGAGAGCCCGACCGATCGCCACCAGGGAGGGAGGGAGGGAGGGAGGGAGGGAGGGAGCAGGAGGAGGAGGAGGAGGAGGAGGAGGGAGGGCGGAGGGCGGAGGAGGAGGGGAGGGCGAAGGGCGGAGAGGAGGAGGAGGAGGAGGAGGAGGAGGAGGAGGGCGGAGGAGGCGGAGGGCGGAGGGAGGAGGAGGAGGAGGAGGAGGAGGGAGGAGGAGGAGGAGGAGGAGGAGAAGGAGGAGGAAGGGAGGGAGGCGGGGAGCTCCGCTCGACGGGCCCAGGCTGTCGGACACGCCGGCCTCCCGGCGCGGTGGCGCGGACCTCCTGCCGCCCGGCAGGAGCCCGGCCTCGGGGCCGCGCCTCGAGGCGCGGGAGGTCTGGCCGTCGGCGGCCGAGGTCCGAAGGCCTCGTCGGAGTCCTGAAGGGACCCCCTGGGACACACAAATAAATACACACACAAATACAACGATCCCCCATAGTTTCCCATCTGTTCTTCTTGGTTTTTTGTCTTCCCCCCACTTCCCGTATGTCCCCATATCTTCCGGGGAGTCGACGATGAATGGTGTCTGTGTGTGTGTTTGTCCCCTCCTGAAGTCTGGCCGTCGGCGCGGCTGCCAGAGAGGCAACCACGCTGATGGCATTCTATATGTTTGGACCCTCGCAAGCGCAGGCGCCCCCTGTTTGCACTCGACGTGCACCGCGCGGGCGGGGCCTCCGGGGGCGAGCACCTCAAAACCGGCTGCGCTCGTCCTCCTGGGGCCCACGATCCCCGCGTGCTGCCGCCGCGCGCGCGGCGCGGGCCGCTCGGCCGCGGCCCCCAGCCGCCGCCAAGGGCCCGAAGCCGTACGCCCACGCCACGCTCGCCACGCTGATGGCATTGGGTGGGGAAACATTCGATAAGGAACCCAGGGTCTGGAAGCCAGTGGAAAGCCAGTCGCGGATTGGCCATGGATGCCACCGCCGCCCTCATCCGAGAAGGAACCCTCCAGGGTCTGAGGCCTCCTGGGCGTGCTCCTTAACGAACGCCCCCAGCCAGCATCGGGTTGGGAGGATGGGGTTGGGAAGACACAAGGCAGGAGAGTGCAACAAACACCTCCAAGAGGATCGATACCATGGACGATCCGCTCGCTTCTCCCCACCCGGCCCTCCCAACCCGACAGCTGTCTTTCGGAGGTTGCCGCCGGCCGCCACCATCCCAGCTATGATCGACTAGCCGGTGGCCCGCACTGGTCTTGCCGCAGGCCCGCTGGGCGCGCACTGGGCCCCCCGCGCGGGCGAGCGGAGACTCCTTCGCGATGGCGCGCAGGGCCATCGCGGCCGACTCCGCCTGGCCGGCCTCCGGGGGCGACGAGAAACGGATGACGGACGGCGGACGACGGCGTCGACGACGACGGGCGACGCTGTCGACCCGCGACCGACCACGGCGGCGACAGTGACCGCGAGCACGACGACGCGTCGCGATGCAGCGCAGGGCCATCGCAGCAAGACCCGCCCTCGGGCCTGCCATGATCTATCTCGCTTCCCCCCCCTCTTCTGGGGATCCCCCCGCACGTCTGGACTGCGACCTCTCGCGGGGGGATGAAGACGAGGGAGAAGGGGGGCGGGGAGACGGAGGAAGGGGAGGGGGAAGGGACAGAGTCAGAGCATGAGGCGTGAGGGCGCAGGGGGAGAGATGGAGCAGGGGGGAGAGGACAAGAGGGAAAGAGAGAGAGGGAGGAGCCGAAGGGGCAGGACGGGGGAGAAGGAGAGGAGAAGCGGGGGAGGGTAGGGAGTGTGCGACGGGAGGGGGGAGAGAGGGCCGGCGGACGGAGGATGGGGTGGAGGAAGAGGAGGATCGAGGGTGAGAGGGAGGGCGAAGGAGAGCAACTGAAGGAGCATCCAGAGGAGGCACGAAGCAGCACAAACAGAAACGCTCGGAGGTCCGCGCGGATCTCCTGTGGAGGCACGACCCCCCCCCCCCCGCCCCTGGCGCACGAGGCGCACCAAGGGGGGGCCCAGGGCCGACCGAAAGGAACCCGTGCGGACCTCCGACAGCTGCTCCTCCAGCATCAGCAGGGGGAGGAGTCTGCGCTGTCGCCGTCGCCCTCCTCCTCCTCCTCCTCCTCCTGCTCCCTCCTGCTCCCTCCTCCTCCTCCTCCCCTCTCCTCCTCCTCTCTCCTCCTCCTCCTCCCTCCCTCCTCCTCCTCCTCCTCCTCCTCCTCCCCCCTCCTCCCTCCCTCCCTCCCAACCTCCCTCCCTCCCTCCTCCTCCTCCTCCTCGGCCGCACGCGAGAGCAGCTGCGCGGCTTGCAGGCGGCCACGGGGGGGCCACTCCCGAGCGCGCAGGCCGGATCCACGCCAGCGCTGGGGGGGGCCCTTGCAGGACCGCGCCGGGAGGCCTCTCTGGCCAAGGGCCGCATCTTGTGGTGGGCTGGGTTTTTCCCCCGCCATCACCAGGAGTAGGAGGGGCAGGGGGTCTTCTTCCTCCTCCTCCTCCTCCTCCTCTCTTCCTCCTCCTCCTCCTTTCCTCCTCCTCCTCTTCCTCCTCATCATCCTCCCCCCCTCCCCCCCTTATAACAAAGATTGGACAACATAGATTGCACAACATAGATTGGGCAACATATATTGAACCACATATACTGCACAACAGAAACAGCACAACATATATTGCACACCATAATGCACCGACTGAATTGCTCCACATAGGTTGCACCCCATAGACTGCACCCACATGGATGGCTCTAGCTACACAAATGGCACGGCATAGATTGCACCACATCGAGTACACTGAGATGCTGTACCACAAATAGTGCACAGGAGCGGGAGAAGGAGCGATGCAGCAGGAGAGAAGGATGAGTGTAATGAGCAAGACGAAGAGAACGAGGTCGATGAGCCACCCGTTCTCAGCCTCCCCTTCCTGCTCGCATCACCGGGCAACGTGCTCACATTAGGAACAGGAAATGGAGCAGCCACGCCTCCTCATCATCCTACCCCTCTGGCTCCGACATCCTCCTGCTTCCACCGCCGCTCCCCGCTGGACCGACGCTTGACGACGATATAATGTTTTCCACGGCCCGGCGCAAGGCCGGATGTGTATGGGGCACTCTGACACCTCTATGGGCTCTTTCTTTTTCTCTCTCTCTCTCTCTCTCTCTCTCTCCGCATCCACGTATCACACCCCCTTCTCTTATATTGACAGGAGGATGGGTTGTAGGATAAGGAAGACGAAGAGGAGGGGGACGACCATGAGGATGACATGGAGGAATTACTCCTCCTCCTGATCCTATCGCTTTCCCTCGTCATCCTCCCCACCCTTCTTCTATTCCCCCCTCTCTCACAAATGGGTGGGGGGAGATCGGAGGAGGAGGAGGAGGAGGAATGCTGCGATGAGAAGACGAGACCCAACATGAGGAGGTCGAGATGCCGCCCGTCATCCTCCTCCTCCTGATCCCATCAGTCGCCGACGCCTCCTCCTCACCATCATCCTCATGACCCTCCCGCCAATCTTCCCTCTATCACTCGTGGTCAACAGCATATCTATTATGGGAGGACGCGGCTGCAGAGTAGGGTGGCGAGTGGATGAGGGCGAGAAGGACGTGAGGGACGATTATGAGGATCTTGAGGTTTTGACAGATCAGTCTTCGTCATCCACTCTCATCATCCTTCTTATACTCCCTCCTCCTCCTCCTCCTCCTCCTCCTCCTCCTCTTCGTGTGTTGTGTTACCATGAGGGCAACGGAGGAGGACGATATGGAGGACTGGTGGGAGCAACAGGATGAGGACCAATTGCTCCTCAGCCGCCTCCTCCTTCTCTTCCTGCTTCTCCCCTTCGCCCGCATACCGCTCATCCTCGTATCAAAACCCTCCTCCTTCTCCTCCTCCTCACCTCCCGATTCTTCCTTATCCTCCTTCTCCTCCTCCTAACCCACCTTCTTCCAGGGGCGACATGCGAGGATAATTGATATGATCATGGCGGGGCTTAGGGGTGGGAGCACAAAGAGGGAGAGGAAGAGGAGCAGGAGGAGCGGGAGGAGGAGGAGGATGAGGAAGAGGAGGAGGAAGAGAAGGAGAGGGGAGAGAGGAGGAGGCGGAGGAGGAGTTACGCCTCAACATTCGCCTCCTGCTGCAACTCTGCATCCTTCCCCCTATCCTCTTCCTCCTCCTCCTCCTCCTCAACCTACTCACCCTCCTCCTCATCCGAATACCACGTGCCCTCATCATCCTCATCCGCATCCGCATCCTTCTCCTCCCCACACTAATTATCTTCCCATCAGAAAAAACAGGAGTGGAGAAAGAAGATGAGGAGGAGGAGGATGAAGATCGAGTTAATAATGATGAGGGGGAGGAGGAGTGATGGAAGGAGAAATGATGGGAGGAGAGGGAGGAGGAGAAGGAGGAGGAGGAGGAGGAGGAGGAGGAGGAGGAGGAGGAGCGGGTGGAGGAGGACGGGGAGGAGGAAGAGGAAGAGGAGGAGGAGGAGAAGGAGGAGGAAGAGGAGGAAGAGGAGGGGGGGGGGTGGGGGGAGGAGAGAGGAGGAGGAGGAGGAGGAGGGAGGAGGAGGAGGGAGGGGTGGAGGAGATAACTCTTCAACCTCCTTTTGTCAATCCTGAAGAGGGGAGAGGGTGAGAAGAGGGATGGGTGAGTACGGGGGATTAGGAGGATGATAATGACGAGAACCGCGGAGAGTTAAAGGGGGACGTGGGAATCAGCAGCATGACGATGAGGAAGGCAATGATCATGATGATGATAATGTTGATAGGGGGGCTCAGGACGAAGAGGAAGACGAGGATGGAGGAGGAGGAGGAGGAGGAGGAGGAGGAGGGAATGAGGGCGACATGAAGATCAGGAGCAAGACGAGCATTTGGACACCTGGGGAGCGCGACATGGATAGCGTGTGGCGCCGAGGAGTGGTGGGCCAGAACCGGCGGCACGACACAAGAGGAATAAACATAAACCTTTGGCGCTCCGCGCAGATTTCTTGGATCTGCGCTGGACCCCCCTCCCTGGCGCGCGGAGCGCGCCAGGGGCGGCACCGGCGGCGCCGCCAGGGGGGGGGGGGCCCCAGCGCGGATCCCAGAAGTCCGCGCGGAGCGCCAAGAGTTCATGTTTGTGGCGTGTTTTTTCCTTCGTCGAGACACGCTGACCTGAAGTTCCCGACCGCAGATCTTACGCTGAGGTCGGGCATGTGTCCCTACCGGCGGATGTTGCACGATAAATAAATCATAGCCGAGACATACCTCAATGACACACAAACATACGAAACAAAAATCGTCCCCAGACTATCTCTTGACTATTGCTGAATGTCCCTCCCGTGGAGGGACACGCCCGACTCCATCCTGCGCGCAGCCGGCCGATGGCCGCAGGAGGCCGTGGCTTCGGCCCCCCCAGGCGCGCCCGCCTCCGGCGCGGCGCCCTGCGGCGGGGGCGCCACGCCCGCGGGAGCGCGCAGGAGCTCGCAGGCCCTCTCGAGCAGGTCGCCCTCGAGGGCTCGCGCGCACTCGGAGACGGCGAGGAAGCCCCACACCTCAGACGACGACGACGACGACGCCGACGACGACGACGACGGGGACGAGGACGAGGACGACCACGACGACGACGACGACGACGACGACGACGGCAAAGATGAAGACGACGACGACGAGGACGACGAGGACGACGACGAACGACGACGACGAACGACGAGGGTCGCACACGGGCACGAGGACTGGGACCCACCACGAGCACGAGCACGAGCACGAGCACGAGAACTGGGCACCACGACGAAGGGCAGCGGACGAACACGACTACGATCTATTTTCGTTACCCATGTTTTGGTCGCCCTGATATTATTGGTATCCTTTTATTGTTCCTCGATCTCCATGTTTTCGTTATTCTATTATTGTTCCTCGATCTCCATATTCCTATTCTTATTCGTTATCCTATTATTGTTTCGTCGTCCATGTTTTCGTTATCCTATTATTGTTCCTCGATCTCCACCCCTGGGGCCCCAGGGCGAAAAACAACCGCCTGGAGACTGGGCCAGGACCATCATGGGGGCAGGGGATGGGGAAACCCTTATCGCCAGATTTCTCGGGACGAGGACGATGTCAACGAAGTCGGTCAGAAGGCGGGCACCTGCAGCTGTCGGTGGCCACCGGCAGTAGCGGCGAAGGCGGCGACGACAGCACGGGGCCACGGCGACGGCGAGGACGAAGACGACAACGACGACGATGACGACGACGATGAAGACAACGACGAAAGAGGAGGAGGAGGAGGAGGAGGAGGAGGAGGAGGAGGAGGAGAAAGGAGGCCGACGGCGAGGCACGCGGGCGAGCACGACGGCGGCAACGACAGGCGGCGCACACGGCGAGGCGCGCCGAGCCCGCGGCCACGAGGGCGCAGCCCGCTGCGAAGGACAGCTGGCGGCAGCCGCTTGTCTCTGCCGAGGCCCCGGGCGCGGCCGCCCTCGCCCCTGCCGCTGCCGCGTCCCGTGTTGGCGGCGCACACAGAGGGGCATGGGGGAGAGGCGAAGGCTTCTCAGCAGGAGGCTGCTTCTGAGAGAGGGCGCGGGTCCCACATCTGCAGACGAGGCTCGCGCCTTCCCAGAGGCGGGGATGCTTCTGAGAAGCCTCCCCCCCTCCCCCCCCGCTCTCCTCTGCGCGTGGTCGGCTCGCCCCGGCCGCTGCCGCCGCGTCCCGTGGCTCGTCCCGCTCCTCCGCTGCTGGCCCTCCCGGTCGCGATCTGCTCCCCCCCCGCGCGCGGGGCGGGGGGGGGACGCTTCGGGGCTCGAGGCTCTTGCTCGGGCGCTCTCGGCGGCCCTCGGCGGTCCTGCCCCCCCCCCCTCGGGGTGCTCTCCCCGGCAGCTGCGCCTCGCCGGGAGCGCTCCCGGGGGTGCCCGCGGCCCGCGGGAGGGTCCCGTGGGACGCCCGCCATGGAGGCCCGAGCGAGGAGCCGAAAACCGGACGGCGAGGGTCATTGAGGGGGAAGTGGCTCAGGGGGGTGCATCGACCCCCCAGTAGGCCTCCTGCGTGCTGAAATTCGGAAGGCGCGAAGGCTGGGCTTTTCAGAGTGTCGGCCGTCGGGCGACGTGCTCCGACTCCGGGGCCATCAGAAAACGGCTCGAGATGAGAAGGCGCTCGAGGTGAGAAGGCCAGCCCTGGGGCGAGGGCCGTGCTGTCAAGGGGTCACACATTGCAAACAAACTCTGTCGGATGCGTGGGACCTCATCCTACTCCACATGCTCATTGTCCTCGTCCTTCGCCTAGTCCTCCTGTTCCCTCTTGCTGCCGCTGCCCTTCCTCTCCATACTCGTCCCTCCTCTCCCCGTCCTCTCCCTATTCCTTCGTGCTTGTCCTGCTCCTCCTCCTCCTCCTCCTCCTCGCCCTTTACACTGGGGATCTCCACGACCTGGACCAGGAGTGTCTACGCGCACGTGCACATACGCATACACACAACGCACCTCGTGCTCTCACGCACACACACACACACGTACGCGCATGATCCCTCTTGACATCGAAGCGGCTGACATGCGCGTGAGAACGCGGGCAGGCAAGCAGACAGGACTCGCACGCTCACTCTTGCTGTCTACTCGACCCCTGACAGGCCACAGCGAGCACACTTTCCATCCAACGGCGAAGCAGCGCCACCGTCGCGAACGCTAAGTCGGGACACGCTCAAGCGAACTACCGCCTGGCGCAGCAGATGGGAGGTCTGGATGGGGGCAGCCGCTTGCAGAACACCGCATGAACGTGGAAGACGCCAATGTGGCCATACAAATCCAGAAGCACGCAGAGCCCCCCTTACACACACCACACACACACACACATATACATACACACACAAACACACACACATACACACACACACACGCGCACACACAATATCACACACACAGGCACAAGCACACGCGCGCGCACGCGCGCTCGCGCGAACCCACGCCCACGTCAACGCACACTAGCAGGCAAGCAAACACGTACGCGCACACGCACGCAAACCTCCTCCGCACACCATCACACGCCCGCGCACACTGACACGCACGCGTGCACTCACACGTGAGCACGAGCATGCACGAGCATGCACGAACGCACGACAGCGCAAACGAACGCGCGGTCGCGCGAGGCAAATGTACGCAGGCAAGGGCACACGCACACCCTCAAACCTAACATCGTGGACAAATGCTTTGCCTGGACATTCCAGGCGTCAATGTATAGCTACCACGGCCACGATTAGCAGATACTCTTTCAGCGCTTGCCCCAGACCCCCCCCCCTCCTCCCTCCCTCCCGTCGCGCGAACACCAACATGTATACGTGTGTATATGTATATATATATATATATATACCTCTTCCTCTCTCTCTCTCTCTCTCCGTGTTCCGCTTCCAGACCTCACTCACCCTCCCACCCTCCCCCATGTCTTTCTCGCTCTCCCTCGTGACCCTTCCCTTCCCCCCTCTCTCTATCCCCTGCCATCCCTTCCACGCTCCCTCCGTACCTCCCCACATCGACTCGCCGCCATGATTGCGTCCCCCTGAACCTTCTCCATTAAGATGAGCACCCGCCAGCTCCTGCGTGACACCCAGCTGTCAGCGAGGATGCCTGCACCACCAAATTTGACTTGCCGCGGCTGCCACGGTGCTCTCTGAAAAGTCGCGGCTTCCGGGGGCAAGGAAACGAGCGGATGGCGCGGCGCCAAGTCGCTGCATCTCAGCGGTTGCGGACCGCGAAGCCTCTGAGGAAGCCAACCCTGTCGAGCAGACGTTGACGGGTGCTGTGGGATAACGAGGATGAGGACAGCAAGGGTCGGGAGCTGCCAAGAGGAGGATGTCCAATTTGGACGCCCGAAATGGGTACGGAAAAAATGTGTACAATGCTCAACAACAAATGTTGTCCTAAACCAACAGCGGCCGCTGTTGGGCAGGCGGCCTCCTGTCTCGAATGGACACAGGTCGCGGCGGCGTGGACAGCGACTCCTGTTCAGAATGAACCAGATCCGCTGCTGGGCATTGTACCCATTCTTTCCGTGCCCATTTCGTTCGTGCAGATCCAAGAGGGGGGGTGCAAATCATGACCGGCGGCATGTGCGCGGCGCAGCGGGGGGGCCAGGGGCGTCATGAAATAAGAAGAAGCGCCATGAAATCTGGGGAAACTTCACGGCCCACGCCATGATATCCACACCCCCCTGGTCATCACCCCCCTCTTTGCCGCCCCCGTAAAAGCAAGAGGCCTGGCAGGACACGAAACACCCTACACCTAGTCAGACCCTCACTTGCTGAACCTCGGAGGGGCGGCCCGGAAGTCCGCCCTCTCGCACAGGACTTCGATGTGGTGGGGTTTCGCGAGAGAGATCCAGGGCCTCGCCCCAAAGCGGCGTTTCTCACAGCTCGGCTGAACTTCACCAGTGTTGCTGATTCTGACCCTGTGAGAACGAAAGTCGAACTACAGAGTCCGCAAATCAACGAAATAACCTTGAGTCGCTTACGCAACTCAGCAGGCTGAACAGATGCAGCGTGACGACGCTCAGACTGAATAAACCCTGGCCTTGATCGGCCTTCCGAGCCAAGTACCATCGCAGATACAAGGCACGCCCAAAGGGTCAGGAGCAACTAGATAAAGCTCAAAGCATCATGACTCTGGCACCAATCACTTTGACAGAGATGACTTCACAGGCCCAATCATCACGACAACATGTTAAGTGTTCGTTAAAAAAACACGGGTGGTAAGCAAGTAATCCAACACGTAAGTGCAATTAGCCCCCTGGTACACAACTGAAAGACTGACATTTGGCTGCCATGATTTGTTTATACATACTGGGGCGACCCCCCGGGACCTCCCTGGATGCCGACCCCCCGGGAAGGCGCACAATTAGTTACAAGCAAGTGCGTAATCAAAAAGTGGCGACCCCATCGAGAATGAAGTCATTGTTAAACTAATTGCTGACAAATTGTTGAAGTAATTGTTGGCGACCCTGGGGAATGGGGGACCCCCCTGCACCCCCCCCAGGAAAAGTGAACAATTGAACGCGGAACGAAACGTGCAAATAAACAACAACTGTTGTGCGCTCACTGAGATTATTTGGTTGATGACTAATTATTCACTGCATGCGGGCAACTGTTTGTTTGAATTAATTCCGGGGGAGTGTAATATCCTGGCCTGTGTGATGATAGGAGCGGGTCAAGAGCTGCTACGCCGAAGAACCTTGACAACAGTGATGACGGTGGCCGAACAAAAAGAACGGCCAGCCTCCAACAGGGATCCCCACACCTGCGCCAGCATCTGTCTCCTCACGTCGTGCTCCTCGAGGCCTTAGGTAGCTTTGGCTGCCACCCACATCATCTGGATCCACTATTGATCCGATCCCACGTTGCCTTCCTTCGTATGGGTGCGTGCCGAAAGCTACCAACTCCGTGCATGATAAAACAACTGCCCAACAGACTCACATCCAGGGCGACAAGGGGAAGTACGTGCGCGCCTCGAGCGGCAACGCATGTGACTGTCCAGGTCAATATTCAACAAATCCATCGCCTGGGTTGCCCTCGAAAAAAACAGCGCTGGCACTGTTGGACGACATGCCACCTCACCGATGCATCAACACTCTGTGGCTGCTCCAGTAATCATCGGATGGCCTCGCCTCCTCCCGCCCCTGTGGACGCCGCCTGCGGACGGTGATTCCCGAATGTCTCGAACTCTCGGCAAACAAGAGTGCGCTCGTGAAGAACCGCACGAATCCCGAGAGCTGACACTCTCGGTGATCTGGCTGAGCGGCAGTCTGTGAAGATAGTGATGCCGAACTCGTTCGGCGGAGATGGTCCGTGCAGTGAGGTTGGTGTAAGATGGGTGCGCCCTTGCGTCGGCCAAGCTAGTCCACAGTTCCTCCCACACTCTTCAAGTGGAAAGGACGCTCCCAAGATGAGCTGGAACTGCAATGGGCATTCGTCTCCATCCCTTTCGTCCCCATTTCGACCCGCCGAGAGGAACAAATCAGCATGATCAGTTCGGCAAGTCGCGGCGTCCCAGACACTTGACGTCATGATTGCTTCATCAGGTGGACCCCCAGAGGTCTGGACCCCTTCCCCGAGGCCAGCCTCTCGTCCTGAGTCGATGTGTGACGACCCCGAGGCCCGATAAGGGCTGGCCCGACAAGGGCTCGAAGAGGTCGAACATGACCGAAAACCTTCCGCCGCAATGCTGTTCACGTCTGGCCGCGCGCCGCCGACGCACGCCAGGGAGAGCCCGGGCGCCCCGCAGAAGCGCTGCTGCTCGGCCTGGCCGCCCCCGAGGCTCTCCAGCGCCACGCAGTCCGGCTGACAGAGGCCCACCGCGAACACGCCGAGCAGGCCGCCGAACCTCCCGGAGGTCGCTCCTCTTCCTCCTCCTCCTCCTCCTCCTTCTCCTCCTCCTCCGGCGGCACAGTCGGAAGGAATGGGTCAACCATGCACGCGCGTCAGCCCACCACGCCATGAGGCCATCGTAACTTACCGACGGTAGTGCATGCTACGCTGCATGCTGCGGCTGCCTGGACGGCACAAAGGGCCTGGACAAACGTTGCCTTCCTGGCACCTCCTCCTCCTCCTCCTTCTCCTCCTCCGTTTCCTCATCCTCCTCCATCTCGTCCTCCTCCTCCTCCTCCGCCACCTCCTCCTCCTCCTCCTCCTCCTCCTCCTCCTCCTCCTCCTCCTCCTCCTCCCCGTGGGATGCTGGAGGTGTCCCCGGCCAAAGGTACCCCCAGCTTTTCGCTTCGTTTTGGAGCCCATGGGCCCCTCTAAACCTCGTAAAGGGTGCACTGGAGGCCGCGGGGGCCATCTCGGAAACCCTGGAGACACCCTGGAGTCAAGGACACTTCCAGCACCTAGCAACACCCCCCACCCATCCTCACGGGCAGATCCACGGCCTGCTCACACCGCAGAACGCTCCTCAAAATGAAGCCAGGACGAGGATTAATTCGGGTGAAAATGCATCGGGCATTTTTGAGATCTGGCGGCTCTGGAAAAGATCCCTGACGACGCGGCCTCCCCAGAGCTTTCCGGAGCGCTCTGAGAGCGTCCAGGAACGCTCTGGAACAGTCTTACCATCGTCCTAGCCGCGTCCGACTCCTCCCCGCCTACCGGCCCTCGGGCCCCATGCCGTCGATGATCGGCTCGCGTTTTGTAAATGTTTCATAAACAACTTTATTGGTTTGACAAAATTTGACAAAGCACAAAAGGTAAAAAACTTACAACAACTGGCCGCAGGTGGCCGTCTGCTTGAATTGCGCGTTCTTGCGCCTGCTCCTGGTGCCGGCTCATGCCTGCGATCGCCGTGCTCAGCTGCTCGTGGTGTTGCGCCTGTTCGATCAACACTGAAAGCGGGGGCGAGGTCCGCGGGCCCCGTGTAGACGCATCAGAACGCTGGCGGCCGGGGCCTCCCTGTGAGCACACAGTGGGCCGGCGCTCACCTCTGGCGCGGGCCTGGCGAGCGAAGCGGGTCATTCAAGGGGGGCCCAGGGGCGCTGGACAGCGAAGTGTGCACTGCAGGAGACAGGGAGAGAAGAGAGAGGCTGGGCGGCCGCTGAAGGACACACGTTCTGAGACTCATCGACGTTCCCCCTCTTGCGACGACACCAGGACGAGGATAACATCGGGTGGGGATGGGCCGAGGATCTCTGAGATCCGGCGGCTCTGGAGGATGCCTCGGGCGCCGCGGCCTTCTCAGAGCGTCCCGGAACACCCTGGAACGGATTGGTCATCATCCCAGCCCCGCACGAGCTCTCCCCTCCCCGCGAGCAGCTCCACTAGACAAGCGCGTTCAACGATTCGCAAGGTAACTGCTCGCAAATGGCCTGGATCCGCCATGGGGGATTCACAATACATTACATCGCTGCAGGCATGTTTTTTCCTCCTCTGCCCCGTGCTGCTGTTGCTCTCCCGGGTCGTCCACCATGCGGGCTTCCAGACAGGGCTCGGCGCGAGTGAGCAGATTTCTACTTCACCCGTGACATGTGTGTACTGATGTGCATACGATCATTCACGCGATCTGCAACCGATGTGCCGTCTAAGCAGGGTTCGTGACCTGACCACTCTCCCGTGGGGCCTCCAGTCGTGGCGGCGAGGGCGTCCACAGGATGCCCAGGAACGAGGAAGAGCATGCAGAAACTGGGTCCTCGATTTGATCCCCTCCCATCCATGCACAAACACACAAACAGAGGACAACATCTTTGTCCAGAACGGACACGACCCACCCAGGGAAGAACAGCACGTAGACGAGGGACCCAGGAACCCAGAGACGCAACACGCAGGACAGGCCAAAGGCCGACACACACCCCCAAGAGGGGAGGCGCAGGGGGAGGAAGAGAGAAACGAGAGGGAGAGCAGGAGGTCGAAGGGGGGGAAGAGCTGGCCCATGACCTGTCAACCCCCAAGACCCCGCCTCCTCCTCCTCCCTCCCATCCATCCCTCCTCCTCCTCCTCCTCCAAAGGCTAGTCTTCGTGCCATGACTGAAGCCTCCTGCGACCGACCAGGACGACTGGGGCACCCCTGGACCACTCTGGGCGAGGTGGCGCAGCTGCCGGAGATCGCCCCGAGGCTGGCGAACCTCCGGGAACCTACGAATCCGCTCGAAAACCAAAACCCTCTGGGGGAAACAAACAGGTGCCGATACCGCTACTCCTCTCCCTGGGTGCGTTCTGACCAGGATTTCAGGGCGAATCCAGCGGGGGCGACGAGAGCCTCCCAGGAGGCCCACGAATGGGAAAACGGGCGAGGGGGTAGAGGTATGGGTACCTTTTCCTCCTCCGACCTCTGCCTTCGATCCTCGATCATGGGTCCCCTCTCCTCCCTCCCCTCCACCTCCAGGGGAGGCGGCGGTCGACAGGAGGATTAGGATTCATCGGGTAAAACCGAAAAGGGCGTCGGATCGGACCGCATGGGCAAGCAGTCAGACTCGAATCGGATCGGCCGCGCTAGGATGCACAGCATCGCCATGCAAACATCGTGCCGCATCAGATCGCCGCTGCTTCTCCCCTCCTCGTCCCCTGCCGCCGAACCGCGCAGCCTGCCCGGAACCAGCGTGGCGGCATGTGACACAGGACCTGCTCCAGGCCGAGCCTGCGAGCCAACCTCTCTGGTGGTCTTCGCAAGACGTGTCCACGACTCCGCCTGGTCGGCTGCATCGCGGTCGGCCGCGAGCGGTCGGTCTGGTCGGCTGCTGCGCCGCTGCGTCTCTCTGTGAGCTGCTCTCGGCCCACCGAAGGCCCTAGTGGCAGAATCGGGCGTTGTTCCCTTTGGGGGCTGTAAACGGGGGGGGGGCAGGGAGGAGGAGGAGGAGGAGGAGGAGGAAGGAGGAGGAGGAGGAGGAGCAGGAGGAGGAGGAGGAGGAGGAGGAGGAGGAGGGAGGAGGAAGGGGGAGGAAGAAGGATGCACCTCTCGTGCACCTTCGGTGCCCACGTGGGCCCCATGCAGGGCCCCCCCCCTGCACCCTAGGATCGCACGACGGGGAGAAGGATGCTCGAGGACGGAGGAGGAGGAGGAGGAGGAGGAGGAGGAGGAGGAGGAGGAGGAGGAGGAGGCGAGGAGGAAAAGAGGACACTCGGCGACGATCCATGCCAGGGAGCGGCTGAGCGCTGGAACAGGTGCACCGGCACCGCGTCCACGGGGTCGTCCACGCGGAGCACCTTGGAAAGAAACGAGCGGTGGGGCGGCGGAGGCCAGCAATGAGGATGGAAGACAGGACAGCAGCACTTTGCGCTGGAGGAGGAGCTAGAGTCAGGGCGCCATCAGAGAGGAGGGACGAGGGAGAAGAAGAAGGAGGAGGAGGATGGGGGCGAGGAGGAAGGGGAGGAGGAGTGATCCGAAAGGAGGGGGAGGAGGAAGAGGAAGAGGAGCAGGAGGTGAGGGAGGAGGAGGAGGATGAGGAAGAGGAGGAGGAACGACGGAGGAGGAGGAGGATAACGAGGGCGAGGCGAAGGAGGAGGGAGGGGGAGAAGGAGCACGAGCAAGAGGACGGGGAGAGTGAGGACGGAGGAGGACGGAGGAGGATGGAAGAGGAGGCGTAAGGAGGAGCAGGGCCGCTGAGCAGGGGGAGGGGAAGTGATTACAATTCCAATCCCAATTCCTCTTCTCAGAACAAGCTGAACCACACACGCGCTTCGCTCGCACTTGGTTTATGGCCAGCTCTGGTTGTAGTCTGAAGTGTTCGGCCTCGGATGGCATGCAGTGACTGCTGCGTTCGTTTTGAATCTCTCCTTGGGAGTTTTGGGGGGGGGCGTGTTGGGCCGTGCGAATGCTGCCCTGGAAAGTCTTCGGGCCCTCTCTGGACATCTAGGGGGTATTGTCGGCGTCGTATAGCTCCTCGTGGTCCTTTTGAAGTGCCCCGTGGCGATGGTTTGCCTTTTCGAGCGATCCATGGGCCACCCTTCGCTCCCAGAAGGGCGCGCTCTGCCTTTCAGATGGCTTACCAACGGCCCAAGAAAGTCCCCAGATGCCCTAAGATGGTCACAAATGGCACATGAGGCTCAGAGGACCCCCAACCAAAGGCCCCCAAGAGATCCTCAAGGGCTCCCAAGGTCCCAAGAGGAGCGCAAGAGACCTCGAGAACAGAGGCTACCCCATGTTCCCCAAATGGCGTTTACAACGACTCAGGGAACACGCAATTCAAACGCTTGCCCACACTCCCCCCAACGGTTGGAGGCATAAGCATGTGCAACAGGGCAGGGGACGGCGGCGACTCCCAGTAAGCCAGGCGTCTTCAATCCGTCGCCCCCTGATGTCTGAAAAAGTGGTGCGCGCCCTGCCAGGTTGCCTAACTCGGAAACCCTTCCCACGAGAAAGAGGAGGAGGAGGAGAAGGAGGATGAGGAGGAGGATGAGGAGGGGGGAGGAGGGGGAGGAGGAGGAGGCGGAGGAGATGAGGAGGAGGAGAGGAGGAGGAGGAGGAGGTGGAGGAGGAGGAGGAGGAGGAGGAGGAGGAGAGGAGGAGGAGAGGGGATGAGGAGGAGGAGGAGGAGGGAAGGAGGAGGAGGAGAGGAGGAGGAGGAGGAGGAAGGAGGAGGAGGACGATGGAGGAGGAGGAGAACAGGAGGAGGAGGAGGAGGAGGAGGAGGAAGAGGAGGAGGAGTAGAAGGAGGAGTATGCGGAGGGAGGAGGAGGAGGAGGAGGAGGAGGAGGAGGAAGAGGAGGAAGAGAGGAGGAGGAGGCGGAAGGAGGATGAGGAGGCAGGAGGAAGAGGAGGAGGAGGAGGAGGGAGGAGGAAGAGGAGGAGGTGGAGGAGGAGGAGGATGAGGAGGAGGGGGAGGGGGAGGTGGGGAGGGGGAGGAGGAGGAGGAGGTGGAGGAGGAGGAGGAGGAGGAGGAGGAGGAGGAGGAGGAGGAGGAGGAGGAGGAGAAGGAGGAGGAGGAGGAGGAGGAGGAGGAGGAGAAGGAGGAGGAAGAGAGGAGGAGAAGAAGGAGGAGGAGGAAGAGGAGGATGAGGACAGAAACAAAGACGCGTTGCCCGACCGACTCTCTTGTCGTCGTCGTCGTCGTCGTTGCCGGGCGCCGGGGGCGCCTGGAGGCCGTAGCTCGACAGCGGGTAGACCACGAGGCCACTGAGCAGGCCGAGGACCGCGGCGTCACCTTCGCAGGGGGGGGGGGGGGGGGGGCAAGCGGTCGGCGCGACGCGCGGCTGCGCCGTGCGCGTGCCTCGACCATCGGTGCGGCGGAGCCCTGGCATGCACCGACAGCGGGGGGGGGAAGGGGAAGGGAAGGGAGGTAGGAGGGAGGGCAGGGCAGGGAGGGAGGCCCCGAGGCGCAAGGCTCCAGACGTGGCGCGGCCCGGACGTGGGGGCCAGGTCCCCACAAGAGAGCACGACGCGGCGGCAGCGGCACGACGGCGACGACGGGCGGGAGGGAGGAGGGAGGGGCGGGGGAGGAGGGAGCGGGTGTGAGCAGGCCGAGGGCCGTGACGTCACCGTCGGAGGGAGGAGCGAGGCGGGGAGGGAGGAGGGGAGGGGAGGGAGGGAGGGAGGGACGACGAGGAGGAAGAGGAGCGCATGCGAAAGTGTACTCTCCCATGCTGTGCGATGTGCTGGCGCAAAGGCTTGCTTGCGAGACTGGGGGGCGATATCTGGAGCTGTACGGTGAGTGGGGCTCTTGGCGGCTCCTAGAAAAAACCGCGCAGACGCCTAATATCGCGGGTTGGTGGCAAATTTCAGAGAGCGCTCCCTGACAGGTTGGTCTCCTGCCCCTGCCGTGGCCATCGTCACCCCTCTCTTCTTCTCGCATGTCCTTGTCCTTGTCTTTCGTGTTTCTGTCAGGCAACGCTATTCGAACTCATTTGTCTTCAGGTCGTTAGCGGCTGAGTGAGTAACTGAACGAGGAGGAGGGGGAGGAGGAAGGACGAGACGAGAAAGAGGGGAGGGGCAATGAGGAAGGGAGGGGGAAACCAGGGAACCAGGGAGGGAGGGAGGAGGATGAGGAGGAAGAGAAGGACAGGGAGGGAGAGGGGGAGGGGGAAGGATGGAGACGGGAGGAGGAGGGGGGAGGAGGGAGGACGAAAAGGGGGAGAGGAGGGAGGATTACCAAACTTGTGAAGGGGGGGGAGGGAGGGTGATGACTGTGGGGGGGATCGGGGACCGAGGACACGCGTTCCTGCCCGCTCGTCTCACAAGTTCCGGCCCGCGCGCGAGTCGCGGCATGGGACCGCCCGGAGGCGGCTCTCGGGAATCATGGCAGGCAGGGCGGCCCGAAGAGCGAAACAGCCCGGAACGCGTTGGGGCCCATCTCTGCACGCTGCCGCTGCGCTTCTGCAGACCTCTGGGGAGAGGCAGGGGGGCCTGGAGCACAGGTTGGCCTAGGCCTAGAAGGCCCAGGTCTGGAAACGAGAGCGGTGGGGCCTGGCAGGGCAACAGGGGAGCATCGGCCACCCTCGCGGTGCAGCGCGCATCGAGTGGCCCCGCGACCTCTGGGGGGAATAGGGGGACCTGGGGGCACGCGGGGGGGGCCGGGAGGAGGAGGAGGGGAGGAGGAGCAGGAGCAGCGGGACCAGGGGGGGGGCGGCAGGAGGGATGAGCGGGGCACAAGGGGGGAGGGCCAGCCAGGATCGGGCAGACGCGGCATCTGGGGAGGAGGGGATGGAGGAGGAGGGAGGAACAACAGCACTCCGCGAGCCCTGCCACGCACGGTGCACGGCAGGTTCGAACAGCGAGGCAGCGCTGCTCCTTGAAAAGACATCGCACGCCGTGGCACAATGATTGGAGACATGCGTAACGAAGTCACAAACCTGCTCAGGGAACGTGCCCAGACGCACCCTATCGGAGACGCACTCCTCATTCAACAAAGCACATCGCCTTCTGCACGCTGGCGTCAACCTTGTGCAACCTACGGGTACGAATGACAATGTCACTGGTGAGCCTTCTCATCGCCGCGGTATTCATCGCAGCTAACAGAAAGCGCGCGACGGGAATCGAAGCGAGCTGGAGGGACAGAGACATGCTGAGAACTACTCAACTCCACGAGACCAGCACAGCCTCCCCGCCGCCACCCAACACGGGAGACAATCCGATCGCCAAGCCATCCGGCCCTCAGACCCACCCCAGAAGAGGCCATCGCAGCTCATTCAGCAGTGCCACAGGCACACTCCGCTGACATCTCTCTTACGTGGGGGATCCGCGGGATGGCGTGACCCTCTTGGATACGCATATCGAATACGCTGTGCAAGCGCTTGTGCGCAACACCAAGGCGAAACCACATGTTTCAAACAACTTCCTCCGCGAAACTGGGTAAACTTTTTTCGTGGTCTTCGCACAACAAAAAAACGGCCTTCAACGATACGCACTTTTTGAGAACGGCCGCTCTCCATCCGTGTGGCTGTTGGGACGTCAATCCGCAACGCCAAGAACTTGCAGGAAACGCCTCAAGTGGAACGCCCGGCCCACCCTACTGCCACTTCTGGTGACGCGACGAGAAAGAGGGGGAGGAGGAGGAGGAGGAGGAGGAGGAGGATTAGGAGTAGGAGTAGGAGGAGGAGGAGGAGGAGGAGGACAAGGAAGAGGAGTAGGAGAGAGCAGAGAAAAGAAGAGAAGAGAAGAGGAGAAGCCAAATAAGAGGGATTGAGGAGAGGGGGCAGGGGGAGGGCAAGTGGTGAGGGAACAGGGATGAGCGGAAGGACATGAAGGATGGATGAGGACGCGAGGGAGGAGCAGCAGCAGCATCGGATGAGAAGGGAGACACAGGAGAGCTGGGTGAGGAGGAGATCGCGGAAGAGTTGAAGCGAAAAGAGAAGAGGGAGGCAGGCGGGGGGGGGGGAAAGAAGGGATTGGAAGGAGGAGGCGGGGAAGGAGGAGGACGGGCTGGAAGGGGAGGATGGCTGCGAGGGAGGGCCCTGGAAGAAGGCGAGAGAGGAGCTGGAGGAGGCAGAAAGAAGGAGGAGCTGGACCAGAGCAGCAGCAGCAGCAGGAGGCACCCGTCGAGGCCACGTCGCAGGAGGCGGTGATGGAGACGAGCCCCGTGAGGACGCCGTTGCTGATGAAGCCTGGCTGGGACGAGAAGAGAATCTGTTGACACAACGTGCTATTGATACGTTCCCGAGATTCCGGGATGTCTAACAGCCTTCGCGCGGGGTGCACTTTGCCCGGCCCCCCCCCCTCCCCATGGCCGCCAGTGGCGGCCATGGGGGGGGGAGGGGGGGGGGGGGGGGCGGGGCGGGCGGGGCTCTCAGGGTCTCGCGCCCTCCTGCGGCGGAGGACCCGCCGCAGCGGGGGGGAGCGGGGAGGAGAACAAGACGACAGGCGGGGGTGGGGGGGGGGCAGGGGGGGGAGCGATGCTCTCCCCATGATCCTCCGCTGCAAATCTCTCCCTGCGTGCTTGGGCGGTGATGGGGTGTGTGGAGATGGGGGGGAGGCAGGAGTACAGGCATCCCGTATACGACAGGATTCGCGGTAGAGATGCCAGCCCGTTGGGCGCCCAAGTTGAAATCCTTTGAGCTAAGGCTTGCCTAAGGGTAGGCCGAGTACGCATGGATGCAAGGGTCCCTTGGGGATGCCACTCAGCCTTACCCTGCGCGTTGGCTGTAGCATTCACTTATGGTGCGTCGAAATTGGCTGTTTGCAGCGATGCCCGCGGAGAGAACAGGGCACGAGGGCAGGGGGGGGGGGAACGGGACCAGGAGGGTGAGGAGGCGGAGGGGGGCGAGAAGGGCGAGGGGGCGGAGGGCGAGGGGGGGAGCAGGGCGGGGGAGGAAGCGGCCGGAGATGCCTGGGGAGCGATCGCAGAGGGGCACGGAGCGGAGGTGCACTGGTGGGGGGCAGGGGAGGGGGGAGATTCTCGAGGGCGGGGGATTCTGGGGTGGCGGTCTTGGGAACCACGTCTTTCTAATGTCGGCCTCTCGCTGTAGCGCCGCGCACATTCTCTCCAAACTTTGATTCTCGCCTTAGCGCCGCGCACGCTTTTTTTTGTTGGGTGGGGGTGAGTCCGCTGGTGGGCCAGTCGCCCCAGGGGAACTCCATTGGTAAGCCAGCCACCCAGGGGTGGTCCACTGACGGTGTCCGTCCACGCCAAGGGTGGCCCACTGCTGGTCCCTCCACTGTCTGGTGGGCCAACAGCCGCCCACTCCAAGGACGCCCACTTGTAGACCCTCCGCTCAGGGCTTGTATGCGTGCGCGAGTGTGGTGGTGGTGGTGGTGGTGGTGGTGGTGGTGGTGGTGGTGGTGGTGGTGGCGGTGGTGGCGGTGGTGGTGGTGCTGCTGCTGCTGCTGCTGCTGGTTGTGGTGGTGGTGGTGGTGGTGGTGGTGGTGGTGGTGGTGGTGGTGGTGTGTGTGTGTGTGTGCGTGTGTGCGTGTGTGTGAGAGAGAGAGAGAGAGAGAGAGTGAGTGTGTGTGTGTACGTGGACCAGGCCCCCAGGAAAAAAAACCATTGGTGGGCCAGCCACCCAAGTGGTGATCCACTGGTGGCCCGTGCCTGGTATTGCTTGGTATTGGTTGGTCGTGCTTGCAATTGCTTGGCCGTGCGTGGCATTGATCGGGCGTGCTCGTCGGACTGGAATTGATATCTCGTGCTTGGCATTGGTTGATCGTGCTTGGCATCGGTCGTGATTGACGTTGGTCGGTCTTGCTCGGCATTGAGTGATCATACGTTCCATTGCGTGGCATTGGTTGCTCCAGTGGTTGCTCTCGCATGCGTTTCCCCCACCCTGGGCAGCGCTTCGTGGCTCCATAGGGAGCTCCACCGAAGGCCCCAATGGTTGCTCTCGCATGCGGTTCCCCCACCCTGGGCAGCGTTTCGTGGCCCCATATGGAGCTCCACCGAAGGCCCCAGTGGTTGCTCTCCCATGCGTTTCCCCCACCCTGGGCAGCGCTTCGTGGCCCCATAGAGAGCTCCACCGACCGCCCCAGTGGTTGCTCTCGCATGCGGTTCCCCCACCCTGGGCAGCGCTTCGTGGCCCCATAGGGAGCTCCACCGAAGGCCCCAGTGGTTGCTCTCGCATGCGGTTCCCCCACCCTGGGCAGCGCTTCGTGGCCCCATAGGGAGCTCCACCGAAGGCCCCAGTGGCTGCTCTCGCATGCGGTTCCCCCAGCCAGGGCAGCGTTTCGTGGCCCCATAGGGAGCCCCACCGAAAGCGGCACCCACAACGCGTTACGAACAATTGCTTATGGTTGGGTCCTTTGCCAGGATAATTGTTGTTCCCCTCCCCGCCCTCTCCCAGGCCTCAGGGCCATGGCCTTGAATGTGATTGAACCAATCAGTGCCCATCAATGTGATTGTTCGTAATCACATACGGCCCAAGGCGCTGAAAGTGATTGAAACAATCCGTGCCCCCCAATGTGAATGTTCTTTGGCCCAGGGCCCAGGGCCCTGGCCCTGAATGTGATTGAAACAATCAGTGCCCCTTGATGTGATTGTTTCAATTACATTCGGCCCAGGGCGCTGGCAGTGATTGAAACAATCAGTGCCCCCCCAATGTGATTCAATCAATCAAGCGTGCCGCGCGTTGGCATCCAGACCGCTACTTGAGAATCCCCCGTTCTCGGGTGGCTGAGTCTGCAGGCAGGGCGACGACCGCCACCCCAGAATCCCCCGTTCTCGGAGACCAGGGAAGGCCGGGAGGCGCGGGATAGGATGGGCTCTGGAAGGTGTGCGTCTCGCACTGCGCGGATAGGGCTCCCCAAGCACCTCGCTGCCCCTGCGAAGAAGATGGCCTGGCGGGTCCCGACGTGCGGCCCTCTCCAGAACCTTGAGACCCCCAAGATGGCACGTCTCCTGGAAGGCCGAATCTTGCCCCCGCCGGCGTCCGCCGGCATTCCGCTGGAAGAGCCGCCCTCGTGCTGCCTCCGCCAGCCCTCCGCCGAGGAAGGGAGGCAGCCGAGGGGGAGAAGACCATCCAGGCGAGCCCTCGGAGGCGAGGTCCTCTCCTCGAGCTGCCAAGGCCGCCCGCGGCAGGACGAGGGGGGAGAGAGCTGGGGGCGGGCCCAAGGCCAAGCAGGTGTGCGCAAGCAAGATCTGACGCCTCCGAGCCCGACCCCCCCCTCCAAAGGGGCGACGGGGCTCGCGTCGAAGACTCGCCCCGAGCACGAGCCCAGTCGAGGTCATCCTCAGACAGTCCGAGCTGGAGGAACAGGTACGAGCAGGAGCAGAGGGAGACAACGAAGCGGCAGGTGCTTTCACCCCCCCCCCCGGCGGGCGGCACCCACGTCCAGGCGCTCGCGGAAGAAGCAGCAGCTCAGGAACGCGCCTCGGCTGGGCGCCCTCCTCCTCTGGCTTTACCCTGCTCTCCCTGGTCCGCTCAGCCCGACTCATGCTCAAACTCCTCCTCCTCCTCTTTCTCCTCCTCCTCCTGGCAATTCCTCTTGCCCCCCCCTCCCGACTCGTCGTCGTCGTCGTCGTCCTCCTCCTCCTCCTCTTCCTCCTCCTCCTCCTCCTCCTCCTCCTCCTCCATGGCTCAAGTACACATGTGTGCTCAAACTCTTTGGGCATCGAACGAGTTTACCTTTTTCTTTCACTTAGTGGCATGGCCTATGAAGAGTGGGCGGATGTGTATGGCCGCAATCGTGCTGGCAAGTCTCGCCGCAAGGCTAAGCCCTACACTGTATGCGCAGCATGTGGAGGTTGGACTTTGGATCACATCCTCAAGAAGACTCACACCTGTCTCCACTGCAAGGTGTTACTCATGCCACCTGGAGCTGGTGGCGGTGGTGCCAACACGGCGCTGGCGGACGGGGGCGGCAAGAACCAGGTGTGCACCCTGCCGCCTGACAAGCTGGCCAAGCTTCAAGCTATCGCCAAGCTCTTGCTAGCAGACAAGGCGAGGCAATTGCTGGCACCAGTGGCCGATTCTGCGCCTAAGCCAGCGCCGGTCTACAATTTTCCTGAAGGAGAGTATCAGGCTGCTGAAGCAGCCAAGCGTTATGCGTCCAAGGTTCTTGAAAAGGCTTTGGAACATCGTCTCTGGGTTGAGAAGCAAGTTCAAGCAGCTGGCATGCCTCCAGCAGAAAAAAGGTGGCCAGAAGCCGGACGCAGAACATGAAGTTTAGCGTGTCTCCAGGTGGCCATGATGAGGACCGGCCGTCTAATTGTTTACCTTGTGTAAAGATGGTCGTGTCCAATATCAGTAAATGGGGCCCACAGGCGATGCGATGGTCTCTCCCTACCCAAGCAGATGTTGTGGTCTTGGCTGAGCACCGCTCGAGGGGAGCAGGCTTGAAGTCAATGGTCAAGGAGCTGCATTGTGCGGGGGGGGAGGGTTGTAGCCCAAGATGCCCATGTGACCCAAGTAGCTGACACCTCAGCAGGTGTTATGGTAGTTGTTAGGTCTCATCTCCTCCTCTCTGACCTCTCCGTCTTCCGATCCTCCTGAAAACTAGCGGCCTCCACGTCCAGATGGCTGCTATGCACTCTCAGGCTCCGTGGTGTCAATATCACGATTGTCCCTGTGAATTTGCATGACAAGGTAGGGCCTCGTGGCCCTAATACCAAGCTTTTGTCGGACCTCGGTTCGGCTCTCTAGGTGCTCGGGGGTCCTATTATTGCCAGTGGGGACTGGAATATGTCTTTCTCGGATTTGGAGTCCACTGATTTCCCTAGGCGTTTGAAATTAAGACATGTGCCAATGCCAGGTGTTAGTCATACCTGTGAAGTAGGAGGAAAGACCAGCTTGATCGATTACGCGCTGGTAAGCGAGCACGCCCGGCAGATTGTGAAGTTCTCTGGCTTTGATGTTTCGGTATCCTGGGGCACCCCTGTCGGTTTGCAGTGTATGCTGCCCACAAGGCTTTAAGCGTTCTTCGTTTGAAGTCGCCGGCTGCTTTGGACCACCCGGGCGTGCGAGGCCCAGTTTTCCCGCGGACCACCTGTCAGGCCCGAGCCAAAGTGGCACTGCGGCTCCACCCTGGGAGGTTCCGAGGTAGTACGCGCGTACAGGTTCAATATGAGTGGGGCCATGATGAGGTGGCCACATCCGTGGCCTTGAATGCCCGCTTCAGCGAATGGATTTGGGCAGTCGAGCTGGAAGCTTGCCGCAGGCAAGGCGTAGAAACGGGCAGCACATTCAGGCACGTGGGTCGAGGACAGCTCCCCCATTTAGTTGAAGCTCCACTCCTTCCCCGGAACGTGGATGCCCCCAGTTTAGTCAATCGGCAAGCTCGTTTTTGGCAAGCGCTTGCAGTTCAACTTGGCACCGCTCTCAAACTATGTGACGTCGACCCAGCGCTTGGGCATGCGGCCGTCCCGCAGCCCAGGCAACGGTCAATTGAACACTTCAGCGGCCTGGTCCGCAAACTCTCCCTCCTTGAGCGTCCTCCTCCTCCTCATGACGAGCATGATCAGGCCGAGCTCGACGATTTGTTTTTGTGGCGAGGGCGGCTCCAGAAGCTGCCCCACTTTCCCCTGGACGGCTGGCAAGGGATGGTTTCGTTAGCTGATGGCTTCGGTCAGAAATTTGCTCAGCGAGCCTCTGCTTCATCAAAAGCGTACTGGTGAAAGTGGCTCCAAGAGGCTCTTGAGGGATCGGCCAGAGGGGCTCGCCGTTCTTTGGAGCCAGACCGTAGCCACCGAGTCAAGGACACCCAGGATGGCGACAACATTGTTGGCAGTGTCCCTGAACGCTTGGAGCTTCAGGCTCGAGTGTGGTCGGCATACTGGCAACAACACTCCGCCGACTCTGCTCGCAAGTGTCTTGCGGATTCGAGGGCGTTGGCTCGTGAGAGTCCGCCTCTAGCTCCTATCACGCTTGATATGCTCGACGCGGCATTGAAATCGATGCCTAACGCCCGAGGGCGCGGCCCTGACTTGATACCCCCATCCGTGGGCGGCGGGGCGGATGAGGCGGTGTGGGTGGATGAGTTGGAAAGCGAATTGGCAATCCTTCGAGGGTTCATGGTCGGAGGGGGTCTTCTCGACCTCACTAAATTTTGCGACCAGATGGCTTTTGCCGAAGCGTCCATGGCTTTAGGACATCAAGTCCGGCTCTTGGCGCTAGCTGTGGAAGCGTACCTAGGGCCTAGGCTTCTCACGCTGGACCAGGCTGTTCACAGAGGTATCCTCCCGTCGGGAGGTGTGTTGCCGGGCTGCGGACAAGCTGGCTCTCTCTCGTGCGCATGTCTTTACAGCACAGTGCTTGCGATGCTACCTTTAATACCAGCGCAGCCCTTCATTTAAGGCAGTGGGTTGATGACATCGCCTTTCGCATTTTCGGAGCTGAGCAGACGATCCTCGGCATTTTCCCTGTTGTTGTTCGCACGTTGGTGAGAGGTCTCCTGAAGGCCAAGTGCAAGCTCTCAGTTCCAAAGTGTGTTTTTCTGGCCTCGAATGCCTCGCTGCGGAATCAGAATTTGCATGCAGCGGCAGGCACTGCATTAGCAGGCGTCGGGGCAGTTTTGCACGCGAGGGATGTAGGTCACGACGCAACCTTCTTGAATCGTCGTGCGACCAAGGTCGGGCAGGATAGGTTTCGCAAGGGTGCCCGCGCAGCTGGCAGAATAAAACGTTCCACTTGTACTAACAAGCGTTCGCCGAAACTGTATTTTACTAATGCTCATCCCAACGCGAAGACGGTTCCAAGACGCCCTGGGCTACAATGACCTCCAAGACGGCCAAGATGGCCCGAAGAGAGCCCAAGATGGCCGCAAGATCTCCAAGACGGCCCAAGACGCATCCAAGACGGCCGAATATGGCCTCACAATTGCTTAAGACGGCCCAATAAGGGGTCAATATGCCTTCAAGACAGCAGAAGAAGCCTCCACGAGTAGCTCCAAGAAGGCTCGAAGAAGCCAACATCTATGATTTCCCATAGGTGTTTGATGGAGTTGGGCATTTGCTTCTTTTTCATCTGCCGACGGTTCAAAACGGCCCAAGAGGTCTCCAAGATCGCCCCAAGAGCGCCAAGAGGCCTCGAAGATAGCCCCCATGACGGCCCCAAATGCCCTCAAGACGGCCCGAAGAGGGCCCCAAGAAGTCCCAAGAGGCCTCCAAGACGCCGAAGATGTTCTCGAAGACGGCCCTGGAGCGCCCCACGAGGTCTCCCAAATCAGTTCAGAGAAGAAGTCTGGTTTCCGACGGCGTCAGACGAGCCAGGAAAATCCTTAGACGGCGAAGCAGGCTCCCAAGAAGCCCGCAGAGGCCCCCAAGAAGCCCAAGGATACCCCTAAGAAGGCTCCAAGATGCCCCATGGAAGCTCTCAGGAGGCTCCAAGAGTGCCCCACGAGGCATCCTCATCCTCTTCCTCTTCCTCATCCTCCTCCTCCTCCCCCACCTCCTTTGTCCTCCCTCTCCTCCTCTTCGTCTTTCTCCCCCACGTGTTCCCTGAAGGATTTCCACATCGGCTGGGGGAACAACAGTCCGATAGCTTGGCCGAGCTCTGGTGGCCGCAACGTTCGGCCACATCGGCGCCTCAAAAAGGCGAAAGCAGCGGTAATTCGCCGTAGGCGTCTTCGATACCCTCCTCCAGCTCGGAGGGAAGGCAAACTCTGTCTGCCGATCCGAGGGGAGGCGGCCTTCTTGGAGGCAATGGCGCGTCTCAGAGGCCCCGCCCCTGCCTCCCAAGAAGCCCCCTTCAGAAGCCCCTCTGGCACCTCGCGGGGAGCTCCCCCCTGCCTTCCCTGCCTTCCTCAAACGGCTGCCAGCCTCGCCCCCCCCCCCTCCTGCTCCTGCTCCTGCTCCTGCTCCTCCTGCCACAGCCGAGCCGAGGCCGGCGCCAAATCCCCCCATGGCAGCAGCCATGGTGGTGTTCCAGGCGATAACGCCAGCGGCGGTCGCGGCGGACGGGTCCATGGCGAGCGTCGAGCCCGCGTTGAAGCCGTACCTCCCGGGGGGTGCCCTGCCCAGTGGTGGCCAAGGGCCGTCGATGGTCGGATGGTCTCGCGTGAGGAGGAGGAGGAGGAGGAGGAGGAGGAGGAGGAGGAGGAGGAGGCGGAGGAAGAGAAGGAGGAGGAGGCGGAGGCGGAGGCCCCTCTTGGGGGAGGGGCCAGCCCTGCGTCGGCCAGGCCCCGTGGAGTGAGGGCCAGCCCGACTTCGGGAGGGGCTCCTCAGGGCCTGAGCCTCAGGGCTCCTCGGGGCCCCTGCCACAGGGGCGCGCCTCGCCGGCGCATCTGGGCGCCTCCTCCTCCTCCTCCTCCTCCTCCTCCTCCTCCTCCTCCTCCTCTCCTCCTATGCGCTTGGGGGCGAAATGGGGAAGCAAGCACATTGCACCGCACCCAGTTGGGCGGGATCTGTGCGGAAAGACTGTGCTCATGTAACAGTTGGGTGGCCTGTACTTAAACTGTTGCACAGTACTGCGGTCGCCACAGTGTCTAGGGGACGGCTCCGACAGAAGTTCGACGGCGCGTTTTCGGTGAGATGGGTCGGGCCCTGCTGTGCCACTCCATGGGTCAAAATCAAACGTACATTCACCAGATATCGGCCGGTGCCTGAAGGTTGTACGAAATATTGGCCTTGAGTGTTATCTTCGCTTGCCCTCTAATTGCCCCCCCTTAGAAGCTCTGCGTGCATATAATCACAGGTCCCGAGGGCAACGGGTGCCACTCGAGAGTCGGTGAGCAGAACAGTAGGAGGGACCAGGAATTGGGGCATGGAAGGGCGAAGGGAGAGTATGACGGGGGGGCAGAAGAGACTGGAAGCTGTGAAACGCTTATACGCCCGTCGGAAGAAGCAGGTCGATGCAAGAAGTGGTAAGGCGTTCAGCCATGGCTCGGCCCAGAGGAAGGGGGGTAGTTACGGGTGGGTTCGCGAATCAGCTCACGTAGCTGGTTTTCCCATCGCCTCACGGCACCAAAGGCGCCAGTGTATCGAGGAAGCCAGCTGCCTGCAGCACCTATTTGCCAATCCCTCCAGTCGTCCGTCCTGATTCGAGGGAAGCGCCCTCGAACGCACAAAAAGCATCCGAAACGTCGTGGTCGTCGTCGTCCCCCTCCTCCTCCTCCTCCTCCTCCTCCTCCTTCTCCTCCTCTTCCTCCTCTTCTCCCTCCCCTCTGCTCCCTCCTCCGCCTCCTCTTCTCTTGCGTTGACAACGTAGGCCCCCAGAGGTAGCGACCTCTTTGCCAGGGACCGCATTATCATCCCGAGTAGTTCTGTGACAGCCGTGCGGCCTGAAGAGAATAGCCCCCCAGAGGCCGAAAATGCCGAAGAAGAATAATACTCCGTGACTCCTCCACGACGCGAGGGTGGTGGGGGTCATCGCACCTCCCTCTCACCTCTCGCCCCCCTCCCTCCCACCCCCCCTACCCCTATACCCCCCGCCCCTCCCCCAAAACGCTGCTGCCTCCTCCATCACCCCCCATCCTCCTCCCCCTCCCCCCCCTCCTCCTCCTCCTCCACCTTCCTCCCCACCTCCTCCTCCTCCTCCTCCTCCCTCCTCCTATTTCCCCCGACCTCCTCCTCCACTCCTCCTCCTACCACCCTCCTCCTCCCTCCTCCTCCCCTCCTCCTCCTCCTCCGTTTTCCCCTCCTCCCTGTTTCCCCCCCTTCTCCTCTCCTTCCCCTCCTACCTCCTCCTCCTCCCTCCTCCTCTCCTCCTTCTCCTGCTCCTCCTCCTCCTCCTCCTCCTCCTCCTCCTCCTCCTCCTCCTCCTCCTGGCGCGCCCGAAATGGGGACGGACCAACATCTGCACGATGTCCAGCAGCAGATGCTGCACAGAGGCCAGCAGCGGCGGCCGTTGGGTCAGAGGAGTCAGCCCTGGATAAACGTCCGCGACGGTACCGACAGCGAGGCCTGCCCTAAACGAGCATGGAGCTGCTGTTGGCACTCGTCCCCGCTCTTTCCGTCCCTGTTTCGACCAGCCCGAGAGGAACAGGTCGGCATGAGCCTAAAATGCTCGGAGGTCCGTGCGGGTTTCTCGGATCGGAGCGGGTCCCCCCGTGTTTCTGCCGTCTGTCGCTCCTCGAGCCTGGGGAAGAGCACGAGGAGGAGGAGGAGGAGGAGTCCTCCCGATCCTTCCTCCTCCCTCCTTCCCGCCCTTGGGGGCGGAGGGGCACAGCCGCATCGATCTCCCTTTCGCATCCCTCGGCACCCTCAGCCCACTCCTCCGCCGCCCTCCCTTTCCACCGCCCTGCCCAGCTTTGCCATCCCTGCCGCCTGTCGCACTCTGACCCTCTGGCTCACCCTCTGCGAACTTCCTTCCCCCGCCCCTGCGGACAGGAGCAGGCACCGTCACCGGCACCGCTGCTCGACCCCCCCTGGGGTGCGTCCTGACGAGGAGTCCGGGGCGCATCCAGCCGTGCCGACGCGGAGTGGGTAGCGGTATCTTGGGGGGCGGAAAGATACGGATACGTGTTGTCCCCGGACCTCTCTTGGGGTGCGCTCTGACCAGAACTTCGAGGCGAATCCGGCGGCGACAACGAGGACTCCCCAGGAGGACCCGGAAAGGCCGAAAACGAGGGGGGAAAACACGTCTCCGCATCTTTCTCTCTCCCCCGAGTAGCGGTACCTCTTCCTCCTCCGAGTCCCCCTCCCCGTGACGCCGCCGCCGCCCCAAGGGCGGCGGACCAGCCGACCCACAGCGTGAACATGCCGGTCACCTGCGGCCCGCGGGGCCCCGCCGGAGGCGTGCCCGCTTCGCCGCGGGATGCCCCCGTGGGGGGGGGGGGGCGGCCTCCGATCGCCAGACGAGTCGAGAGCCGACCCGGGGCGGTCCAGGCAAAAGGGGGCCGCCTTCGGAGGCTCTGCGGAAGTTCTGCGAAGTCTTCCTCCTCCTCCTCCTCCTCCCTCCTCCTCCTCCTCCTCCTCCTCCTCCTCCTCCTCTCCTCCTCCCCTCCCCTCCTCCTCCTCCTCCCCTCTCCCCCTCTCTCCTCCTCCTCCTCCCCCTCCCCCTCCTCCTCCTCCTCCTCCTCCTCCTCCTCCTCCTCCTCCTCCTCCTCCTCTCTCCTCCTCCTCCTCCTCCTCCTCCTCTCCTATCCGTTTCCTGCTCGCGGGGCATGGCAGGTGTGGCGCTCTCTCGGCACCGCAAGGGGTGCGCAAGGGGTCTTTCCACAATCTCATCCGCAACGTGATGAATAATGCATCAACACCACAGATGTGCACTCAGCATGTGGGGTTCCTTGGTAGCTTAATTCAGTCAGCCGTCCACCATGGATTCCGCAGGACGCCCCCCTATACCCTATGAGGCCCCCAGGGGTGCCCCAGCAAGCCCCCAGGAAGGCCCATGAAACTAGCGAGAAGCCCAAGGAGACCCTGAAAGGTCCCAGGATGCTCACAAGAGGTGATTGGCCACACCAGGAAGCTCAAAGAGACCCCAGGAGGCCCTCTTGAGACCTCAGGAAGACCTCAGGAGGCTCCAAGATACGCCCGCAGGATCCAAATCCAAGAAGTCCCAAGGATCGTTAGGAAAGCCCGCGACGAGGTTGGCTAACCCAACTGCGCACTCCTTCCCCTGTGTGGCACATGACCATGATGGAGCGATGGGGCGACCCCTCCATGTCTCCATCCATCCTTCCCCTCCCCGCTTTGCTGCGCTCCCATACCGCTCTCGCTCTCGCGATCCCTCTCAACCTCGCTCTTGCAATCATAATGCTCCCGCGCCCAGGCTCACACTCGCACGCCTACACGCTCACTCCTCTCACCTCAAATCGGTCAAGCTGGGATGTCGGAGCTGCCTGACTGCGACACACCTCCCTCCCACCATCCCTCACACACACTGCCATCGCCTGCAGGTATCCCAGCGGCATGAATTCTACGCGGTCCCGGTCGAGGTTGTCGAAGCGGCGGGGCCACCCCCCGCCCTGCTTCAGCAGGACGTCATTCTCGTCCTTCTCCTGCGCGGTGTGCTGCCCGTGTGCGGCAGCTGGCCGCAGAAGGGGCCCAGGAGCCCCAGGCCACCGCAGGCCCGCTGGGGCCTCCCCTTCATCTGTTGTTGCTGTTGCTGCTGTTGTTGTTGGTGGTGTTGCTGTTGCTGTTGCTGTTGCTGTTGCTGTTGCTGTTGCTGTTGCTGTTGTTGTTGGTGTTGGTGTTGGTGTTGGTGTTGGTGGTGTTGTTGGTGGTGGTGTTGTTTTTGGTGCTGTTGTCGTTGTCGTTGCTGCTGCTGATGCTGCTGCTGCTGCTGCTGCTGCTGCGATTGTTGCTGTTACTGCTGCTATTGTTGCTGTTGCTGCTGCTGTTGAAGTTGCGGTTGCTGCTGTTGGTGTTGTTGCTCCTGTTGCTGTTGTTTGTTTGTCGTTGTTGTTGTTGTTGTTGTTGTTGTTGTTGTTGTTGTTGTTGCCGTTGCTGTTGCTGCTGTTGTTGCTGCTGCTGCTGTTGTTGTTGTTGTTGTTGCCATTGTTGCTACTGTTTGTTGTCTTCTGTCTGCTGCTTTGCCTCCAGGGCCGCGGGCCTCCAAAAGCTGCGCGCACGGCGCAAGCCGGGCAGGGGCAGCGCCCCGCGGGGTCCCGGAGAGAGGGCGCTATAGCGAGGGCAGGCTCCGGCAGCCCTCTGGGCGCAGGTGGGCAACCGGGAGGCCCCACATGCCGGTGCGGCGACGGACCGCGTGCGGTGACCTCTTGACATCCCCGGAGGCCCCACCGCACGGTCTTGAAGGGGCCCCAGGACACACAAATAAATACAAACAAATAAAAATATTCCCAATACTTTCCCATATTTTCTGGGTTTATGTCTTCCCCCCCACTTCCCATATTTTCTTATATTATCTGGGGAATCGACGATTAATTGTGTCTGTGTGTTTTTTCCCCTCCTGGGGTCTGTGCTGTCGCACGGTTTGGGGACCCTGGAGGCCCTGGGCGCCCGGGACAGATAAAGGACCGACCGAATCCCAAGACCTCGCGGTCACGCCGAATTCCCACTGACTCCACACACGGTGCGGTCACCACGTCCTCTGGGAGGCCCCGAGCTGATCTGCCCTCCTCATCCTTCTCCTCCTCCTCCTCCTCTTCCTTTTCCTGTCAGGGGTGCACCGCTGCCTCACGTCAGTAAGCCAGTAAGCACCCCCTCCCCCACCGCACGAGTGGCCGCCCCCGCCCGCCTGCCCCGCACCATCCATGACAAAAACAACGCAGGGCACTGGCCCGCGTTCGTTTCGACAGGGGCAGCGTGGGTGGGAGCACACTGCTCGCTGATTGCTGAGCCACAATCACTGCAACAGGCAACGCGACGGGATCGAAGGTGCGCGAGTCATACGCGATGGCCCGCGACACCGCCGTCACGACGCACTGGCTTTAGACAAGGACGGTGGGAGGGCCAGTGCGCTGCCCGACGCGTGCCATCACGGGCACTGGCGCCCCTCGCGGACCCTGCGCGCGTCGCGGACGCGGCGCGCCTGGAACGAGTGGCGCATTTGGCGCGCAGGTGGTCGGAAGAGGGCCAGTCTGGACAACGGCAGCTCAGAATCCGTCCCCAGACCCCTTCTGGGGTCCAAGCGCGCCAGTTTTCTTCGCTGCGCCCAGGCGTGGCGACGAGGGGCCATCCTGAAGGCCGACTACCCCTGTCCCACGTGGGACACGTGGCACACCTGGCACGAGTGGTGAATCTGGCGCACCAAGCGCGCCTAGCTGGGGCATCCGCGGCACCTCGCGCTCGTGGTTTGGAGACCCCCACGCGGTGTGGTGACCACCTCGTGTGGTGAGTCCGTGGGGATTCCGGGGCCACTACAAGGCTCCAGGACTTGGGTCGGCCTCCGAGGATATCTCGGGGGGCACCCGAAATCCCAAAACCGTGCGGTGACGCACCGCGCGGTGAGATCTCCCGTGATTTCGAAGTCACGGTCTGTCACCACGCTCGGGGAGACGAAAGCCTCCGGCACGGGGGACTCGGATTGGCCTGACGAGGCCATCACGAACATGACGAGACCCAATATCAAATTTGACGCGAACTCCCGCTGCAAACATCCCACGAAAACTGAACCGTCAAATCCAGGACGCGCCCGTCAAAAAACCAAGGCCGCGCTGAAAGTGCGTTTGGTTAACAGTGCGATTGGGAATCTGGTGTTTGTGACACCGAGCTCGCGCAAAACAACATGTAGGAAATCACGAAACACCGTTCTCTACATATCAAGTATGCGAACGTATCGAACGAGAACGACACAGCGAATTCTGGGAAAACACGAACCACGCGATCCTACACATGGTTTGTCCACGGACCACACAGTCCTACTCAAAGATTTCCTACTTCGCCGTGAACTAACACACCGTTAGCGCGTCGACGGAAAAAAAAAACGACGGCACACCAAAGTTCAGCCTTACGCGAGCCTTACGCTTCCCCGGCGCACGGCTTCAGGATCCCCGAGCGGTGCCCCGGCGCGCGCCCACAAGCTGCGCCGTACGTGCCCGCCGCCGTGTCAGCTGCAGCGCCAAGCAGGCAGCGGCTGCTGAAGCGGAGCGGCAAGCGGCTGAGTCGGGCGAAGTGCGTGGACGCACCATGCACCCGCGCCGCCGCGACCGCGCAGCGCCTGGCCAGGCCAGCTGTGGCGGCGACGCCCGTGTCCCGAAACTCAGGGCTAGCCTGGATGTCCGGGACCTGCTCCGCGAGCCAACGCCGCGAGTCCCTGCTGCTCGCGAACTGCCTGCTCTTGGCGCGATCAAGTGTCCACCCCATCGCTGCCTCGAACGAGGGGGTGGGGCGCAGCGCGTCTCGCACCGCCTCGGCGGCGCCCGCGCTGTCCTCTGCCGCCGTCCGCGCCCAAAGCGTGAACTCATCCACATAAGCGCGGCGTCCGGCGCAACTGGTCGTCCAGTCGGCCAGTCGCCTTCATCCATGGCCAGGTCAACACCGCCAGGAAGAACACCGCCAACGGGCAGCCTGGAAGGAGGCCCTGGGAAGGCCGCCGCGGTTCGCCGATGGCCTTGCCCACCCGAACACGCCTGCGGGCGGCGTAGGCAGCCATCGCTGGTTTCGACACTCGGTCCGGAACCCCAGCACGCGCAAGGAGCGTCGGGAGGGTCCGGAGGTCGACCTGGTCATAAGCCTTCCGCCAATCCGGCGCCGCGCCGACGACCTCTTCCGAGAAGGCGTCGGCCGCCTCCAATTCCAGGGCCAGCTCCCGCGCGAGTTCTTCCGCCCCTTGCCGCCACTCTGCGCCCTCCCAGCTGCACCTCCACTGGGCGAACAAGCGAGCGCGGCCCGCCGCCCACAGACGGTACAGAACCGGGAGCAGCCAGATATGCCGACGCTCCAAAGGACCGTCTCCGCCACCAGGCTTCGGCAGCAGGAGCCCCTCTGGCTCCACGAGCTCCCGCACGCACACACACACACACACACGCGCACACACGCACACACGCACACGCACTCGCCACACACGCACACACACTCGCACTCGCACACGCACACACGCACGCACGCACGCACGCACACGCACACATTCACATACACACACACACAAACACAGAGACATACTCACACACCCAGACAGACACAGTCACACACACACACTCACCCTCACACACACGCACACACGTACATACGTAAGTACGTGCACACATACACACAAACGCACACAAACACACACACAGACACACACGTTCTGGCGCCGCGGCCACGCGCGTGGCGGCGCGGCGTAGGTCAAGGCAGGCGGGAGCGCACGGGCCAGGCCATCTCACGCAGCGTGGAAAAGCTGGATCCACCCATAGGGGATCGACAGCAACACTCGCGAAGGGATAAACATGCACACGCGCGCACTTTTCTTTTGGTACGCCAAGAACGCCTATAGGGCCAACGCGAGCCCACAGGACGGCCCGGCTGGCTTCCAAAGAGGCCCTAGACGGGCACGACAACAAAAACACAAGCCGAACAAAATAGCCACCTAGCGTGGGAGCGAAAGCCGGAGCTGTTGGCCACAATGAAAAACGAGCGTAGACGTCCCCGGGGCAGACACGGCCCATCGCGCGCCAAGCAGAGGCGAGCAGCAAACAAAAGAAAAGCTGGAACCTCACAGCGCGCACGCACACACTATATGTTTCTCCTCCTGCGGCGAGGTGGCCACACCGTCGCGAACACTAAACGTGGCATGATGAATCGAATTCCACCTGGCGTAGCGGGCAAGTGGACTGAGTACACACTTTTTTCGGTCGCGGCCGCGAGCGAAGAGGCAGGCGGCGGGCAGGGTGTCCGGGCCAAAGGGCAAGCCTAATTAGCTACAAGAGGCACCGCTAGCCTGCCGGCCCACTCACAAAGCAGCCGCGAGGCTGTGGGAGAGCTGACGGCGGGGAACATCCTGGGAAGCTCGGGCACGTGCATGGACAAAATGTCGAGGAATTCGGTGCCTGCCGTGAGGCACGACCCACACAGTGACATGACGTGTACCTGAGCAACTGTGTCCGTCATTCTGAATGGGGGCAGGCGCGAGGCCCGAGGAGCGAGTCGCCTGTGGGGCGCCAGGCTCCAACCGTCCCAACGACGTGTGCTAGCCAGGGGGGCTGAGCTGTCGAGGAACGTGGTGCGACGCAACCTGGACTGAGTACACACACGCACACACAGTTTTGGCGACTGCAGCCCCTCGCCGCGAGTCAAGCCGGCACAATCGCGCCTAAACCGAGAGCTGGCATGAGAAGACAGATAGGCGGTGGCGGATGGGAGACATGGAGACGGCAAGGTCGAGAAGCCAGAGAGGAGAACGAGCGCGCACACACACACACACACGCGCACACACACACACACGCGTTCCCTCCTACACGCCGCTGAATTCGAACGACGGGCGCATGGCAACGGGACGCTTCTACCACTAAGTGGCTTCCCTGTGAAGCGGCGAGGCACGCACAGACAAACGCACACACACACACACACAAACGCACATACAAGCGCACACACACACACAAACGCACATACAAGCGCA